TAGGGGGTAGAAATAGAGCTTGAGGATGACGCAAAGACGCAAAGACGCAGAGAGCCAAGGACGCAGGGACGCAGCAATGCAGCAATGCAGCAACGCAGACGCAGAGATTTGAACGCAAAATTTCAAGTGTGCGAGAGGGGGGAGTCGTGTTCTGGCCTCAGGCTACGAGTACACGGGACTTACATACTACTGGTCCGAAAATCTACAGAAAACATGAGAAAATTCAGTAAAAATTTGCGGCGCGCCACGTCAGTTTTAAGGTATACTTTGAAGAGGCCGACCTTCAAGTCCAACGCAGGCGAAGCTGCGTCCTTGCTAGCGGACACATTGTGCAACACATACATCTTAGGCGGCGGCTCGCACTGGCATGTACTACGCCTGTCTTTCTCGGTAGATGTGTTTGTCGGTGAATTTCTGGTCGTCGTAGCGTGCATGCGGGTAGCTGTCTGCAATCGCGCTTGCGCGGGCCAATTTGGATTGCAGCAGGAACGTGCTCCGGGTGCGGGCTTAGGTTGTCGTGCGGAACGGCGCTACGCGAGAGTACATGTATAAAGTGCGGCGGGGCGCATCAGCATACTCTTGGGATGGGGGCGTTTTGCTGTAATGAGAATGCAGGTCAGAGAAAACAAAAACAGAACACACAGTAGCTGGCACTCACTAGCTTGCGGTAGAGCCTGCAAGCGTTACGACTGAGCTCATCGTCGAGACCGCAACGCCACAACGGAGCGCGGGCAGCACTGCAGTTCGAGCATTCTTTCTTGACACCACCAGGGGCAGAGCTAGTGGTGTTCGTAGCTGAGTTGACAGGTGTCGCACTAGAACCCGACGAACGCGAACGGGCGAAGCATCGGCGGGTGCTAGCCATTGGCATGTCGGCTTGACGAGGCCGCCGCCGCTCCCTGGCGGTGTAATTGATAGTCAGCTTCCCGAAGCGTAGCAGTGATGCCGTTGTAGCTCGAGAGAAGTCCAATGACGATGATCGCTGCGATGAGTGGGACATCGACAACGCCGAGGAATACAAGCAAGTGCCGTATGAGCGATAGCTCCTGGCGGACGATGGCGACTCGAAATTGTTGCTCATCTGGCGATGCTTCATGGACCGCATTTGCTCAGCGATGTCGCAGTGAGAGGTGTCAGGGTGCTGGAGTTCAGCCGACAAGTTGTACATCTGTGTCAGTTGGTCAGAGGTAAAGATCAGGGCACGAGAGCAAGGAAGCTGGTATTCATGAGTCGCTATTTTGCCCCGGTCACCGCCATCCATGCTGCCACCGTTAACTTGACAGTTTTACTGGTTCTGTGCGGCTAGATTTGCGAACGTGTTTATATTTATTTGAGCTGACGGGCAGCAGTCACTTTGATTCTCGCTGCTGTAGCTGGAGCAAGTTATTGAATCGAGCGCGAGAGTTCGCACGTTCAAGCTGCCCTCAGGCGAGGCGTCGTGACTGACCTCGGGACTAGCGGAAGGGGTCTCGGAGGTGTTGTCGCTGGCGCGGCAAGCAACTGGCGTGCCCGCATTCAAATAACATCAAACTTCATGGAAATCGGATGAGCCGAGCCATGAAACTTGTAGCTGCGGGAGGGAGCCAATTAGCATGCACAGATAGCAAGGGCCGCACTTACTAGAGACCGTGCACATTGCCAACAGCCTTGCCCTCGTTGTCTTTGCGCCCGAGTGGCGTCGCGGCGGTGTGGCAGCTTTAGCACTGTGCGACGACCTCTTGCGACTCCTGATAAGGGGCAGTCCGCGAGCGGCGCTCACTGTAGTTGTTGTGCATGCTCTTGGGACGGGGCATTCGTGCCTAATGTGCTGTAGTGAAAATGCGAATCAGAAAAAACAGGTGAGGACACACAGCAGCTGACACTTGCCAGCTTGCAATAGAGCACGCAGGCGTTGCAGCTGAGCTCACTGTCAAGACCGCGAGCCGTTTGCAGTGCGCAGGCTGAGCGATGGCCATTTACTGTTGACTGGGGTCGCGCTGGGCACAAGGCTCGGGCTGAGGCGGGACGGGGTGATCGTCTGTAGCACGAAATCTTCGGTGCTGTGCAGCGCTTCGCTGACGAGAGCATCAACTCGTCCTCATGCAGATGGTCGTCATATATAGGAGCAGAGGCGGTAACTTGCGCGCCGTTTGTTGCAGGTTTCATATCTTCTTCCTGATAAAGTTGAACCACTGCTTTGGCAAGCCTTGGAGCCTACTTACCAGTCACCAGGTCTGTCGCTGTTGAGAATCTCGTCGAGCAGGAGTTCGATAGTCGGACGGGGAGTAGAAAATCCGTCTGAGCTGCTGTGGGTGTTGGTGCTGAGGTCTACGCCATAGATAATGACGTTCGTGAGGGTGTGTGATGGATACAGTCGAGCAGAAGGATCAAAATCGGAGGGAAAGGGAGAAGAAAATTGGAGGGATGCAGAGTCTTTAGTTGTGTTGGCATCATTAGCATTGCTGTTGACCCTGGCAAATGAATACTTACAGCTGCACTGAGTAAGTAGCTAGTACTTCTTGTTGCATCGTTGCTGACATTAAACTCACAGGTAGTTGGGCGGCCTCACTTGTTGTCCTTGAACTCGGCAGAAGGCTTGAGATCGACACGGCATCTAGGTCGCAGGTGAAGCAAGCCGGTCAACACTGAAGATAAACTTCATATGGCGGAGCATGCTGTTGCGGCTCTATTTTGCATCCTCTTCATGCACGCGTTTAAGAGTGCGCAGCCGGATGATGTCTGTCAGGTGGTTGCGGCGGAAAGTAGAGGCCTGAGGTCCTTCAATGCTCCTAGTCGTTGACGGCGGCACAGAAGATTACTTGCCCACTTATCTGTGTGTAGTAGAGCGTGCAGGCGTTGCAGCAAAGCTCGTCCTTCAGACCACTGGTCGGGAGCATGGGTAGCGCCGCAGTTCGAGCGTCCTGCCTTGGCGTTGCTAGGAGCAGACCTGTTGATGTCCATAGTCAAATCACAGATGTCGCATTAGAGCCCAACAAGCGTGAACCATTCATGACGCGCATGCTGGGCAACAGCTGCTTACCGTTGACTCGGATCGCGCCCACGGGCACAGGGATCGAGCCGAGTATGGTTCGCTGTGGCAGCAAACTGTGTCATAAATCAATTGCTAAAATAGATGACCTACTTTGCTAGACTGTCTCTGTCTCTGATATAGGCAGTGTCCTGGAATTGGCAAACCTGTTGATGGCTATATGTCAAAGGCTCCGAGTTGGCGCTTGTGCCATTGCCAAACAGGGCAGCGCCACAAAGGTCTACTCGCTTTTCGGAAGAGGCACAATATATACACGCCTTGCTTTGCCATCTTTTTATTAGCCTGTTAAGTAGCAATGCTTTATATAGAATAAATGGTAAGTTTTGGCCATGATTATGGATAGTATAAACTACTACAAGGGAGTGAGCTACGGTTACTGTGGGAACATCTCCTTCAGCCGCAGAAACATATCTCCAGTCTCAACTGTATCTACAACCAAGTACTCATCAATGCGTGCCGGATCAGGATACAAAAGCGCGCCACGTATGATAGATCGCAGAGGTATGAAGGTGGTGGTTCTCTTTGCCTTCACGCAGTAGAGAGCCAGCTCGCGGTCGATGTTACGCTGAGCTTGAGTACGCATGGGGCTTTGCATAGCCTGCACTAATGCGAGAGGGTAGAGTTTCTCACCGTACTCGACAACGAATGCAAATTGGAGCTTGACAATGACATAATTGCCACCACCGGCATCAACAATGGCTCCGTCGTACCGCGGCTTTTGTGGAAGTCTGAAGAGCATCGTAGATAGTCGGTGACCATCTTCCAGGTGACTTTGGACTCGTAGTCTACTCGAAGATAGTGGCATTCAATTATCTGTGAAATAACCAGTTAGTTTGTGCATCAATGAAACTACTAGAGTCTGACCTTGTCCAAAAGCTTCAGCTTCGCTTGAATGCACCCAGAAGCGTCTCTGGGAATATTTGGAAGCTCTTCCGGTGGTAACTCTTTGAACCAGCCAGTCAGATAGTCATTGAGGCGAGAAGTAAAGTTACGGAAAGCTGGGTGGTTTGCATAGCTCTGCTCGACTGTTTCGAGGGATGCTGGGTGCTCTCGGCCGCCGGTATAGACCTGGTTGAATTGGAAACGCTCTGCTCGCGGCTTTCCTGTAGCTGGGTCGACGGGGTCATTGTTCTTGCCGAGAATGCTGTCCATAAGATTGTCGTATGCATTGATCCGATCCCGGAGTGAGTAAGCACAGAAAAACCAGTGATCAACTTTTGCAAGCTGCAGCAGACAAAATTATGGTGAGAACAACAAAGCAAGAAATAACAGCATAGCACACCTGGCCTTCCACATCTCTCTGATTTGAGTGGTCATGGTATATATCCCGTATACCTCCTTGCATTGACTCACTGACCCGTGTGCTAAAATTTCGCATGACCCCTTTGGCAAGAATATCATCGGGGGCATGGATATGCGAATGGTTCTTTGCGAAATTCCAGTCCTTGAGCTTTTTATCACCAACACAGAGTGGAGTATACTCCTAAAATAATCACAGGACAATGATGAGCAATGGATCCTGTATTCAGGCAGATACAACACACCTTGAGGGTCTCATAAAACTGCTGGATGGACCGCCTATAGGCCTCAATAGTCTTGGTTGTATGTACCTCGAAGCTTGCATACATATCGCACTCAACATACCGGCGAATGAGCTTCAGCAGGACATAACCGCGTTACTGAT